GTAAATAGACTGAGCTCGCGGGTGGAGTTGGAGGGTCAAGGAGGAAGCCTCCATGGCTATGTAGTAGTAGGGATAGATGGAAGGAGCTCTAGGCTATAGAAGCGAGAGAGATGGTCCTCTTGCTGGGCTATGGTGGTGTAAAGAGGTTGAGGGAGGAGGTGGGAGGTGGGAACCATCAAGAAGACTCGCCATTGGCTATGGTGGGCGTACATCTTCATCGTTTTGGTTGGCGCTGCATCAAGAAGGCCCCTGAACGGGTACCCCGGTAACACCCTGTTGGGGCATGGACATCATCCGAACAGGGAATCCATAGGCTTGGCGGTAGTTGAGGGAGAGGGCATGGAAGTAGTTTGCATTGTACTTTGAGCATCCAAGGTAGCCTTGCATGTGTCGCCATAGCCAGTAGTTATACCAAGGTAGAAGGAAGATGAAGTGAGCTAATGGAGAGCTCTTTCCGAGGCTGGCTGCAAGGGGGAACAATCAGTCAGACACTGATTCTGGTTTGTTAACGCAAAGTAGATTATTATGAGTGTTATAATGAATTAGATTGGTCAGTTCAATGGGARAAGAGAGGAGATTGTTTAGCTCGATATATAGTTCGCGCTGGAGATATGAGAGATGTTGGGGGCGATGAAGAGAGAGAGATGAATCAGATGATGATTGTGGTGCGATAAGGAGGGAGATGACATCGGTTCCAGCTTGTGTTCTTCTTCTCCTCCTCCTCCTCCTCCTCCTCCTCCTGCTTCTTTCTTCTTACTGTATCCAGCTTGTGTTTTCGTTCTTCTTCTTCTTCTTCTTCTTCTTCTTCTTCTTCTTCTTCCTGGATCCAGCTGTGTTCTTCCTCTTCTTCTTCTTCTTCTTCTTCTTCTTCTTCTTCTTCCTGGATCCAGCTGTGTTTCCCTTCTTCTGCCTCTTCTTCTTCTTCTTCTTCTTCTTCTTCTTCTTCTTCTTCTTCTTGTGTAGCTCCGATTTCTTCTTGTATTTCATGAACCAAAAAATCTCACAAGTCTCACTGTTCAAGTATTTGAGTTGCGATGAATGGCAATGGCCAATGGTTCATCTTTGAGACTTTGAGTTCTGCCTTTTTTTTTTCCCTTTTTTTTTCACAGCACATGGAAATTCTATGAACAAAAATAACATAAAAGTTCAAGTTGAGACTGAATTGCATTTTGGGGGCATTCTCTTATCACCCCCAAGATTCTGGTCCTCGCACAATGATGTTGAACCGAAAAAAAAAAGAAAAAAAAAAGGGGAAAAGAATTGCGTCAAGCTGTTGCGGTTGTCTGAACTTGTTCGCTTATTCTACGAACATCAGAAACTCGGGAGTCTTGGACTGAAATATGGGCTGTCCACGTGATGATTTTCTGTGAGGATTTCTGGGATGTACCTGACCGGAAGCCATATTCTGTCAGAAGGAATCATATATTTTTCGTGCTGGAGTATATACTTGTTGCCTGTGTGAAAAGCAAAACGCTTGAGATCCCTGTCACCTACGTGAGGTTTTTTATGCACAGTCAGGTAGGTGTCCTTCAGTGAGGGCGAGGGCCTCAAGGCCTTCCTGCCCCCTACCCACCCTACCCACACACACACCCCTATACCTTAATTTAGATCCTGCTGACAAAAAAAATGGAAAACAATTTTTTTTTTTTTTTTTTTTTTTTTTTTTTAAACAATGGTAAAGAAAAGAAAAAAAGGATTCCGTTTATGAGACTGATGCGCTAGCGGCCTCGCTCAGTTGCTTGAGCACATAAGTGGTACACATGAGGTCGTGGGTTCTATTCTTCACCGCATCCATTCGATTCCCCACGACCCCCCCTGTGGTTATGCTTCGGCTTCCCCAGCCGTGAATAGTTGGCTTGTCCCTCCTGGCTGGTTGTGGATGTATGTGTCCGCTTTCCAGCCCGTGTCGGGTGTTCAGCGCCTGGCTACTGTTCCCCGCATCGAACAGCCCACGGGATTCGCTGAGGCGAAAAATCTGGCGGCCCAGAATCCTTCCTTTTGTTTGTTTAGGGTTTCTTAAAAAACGTCATATGGACTAACCAGTTCCATTCGGCTTCTTAAAGGTTTTTTTTTTTTTTTTTTTTTTTTTTTTTTTTTTTTTTTTAAGACGGCTTCCTAAAGTTTAAACAAAACAAAAAAGGTGAAAAAAACATAAACGTAATAAGAATATATTTTAACGCTGTGATAGACCTTTCTTTGTTTCCTGGGCGTTTTGCTGGCCTGTGATGGGGTGTGAACCGACAGTCGCGGGTACCTTGAGGGAAGTGGTTGGTGGTCCCCACCACATCAGGGTATCAGTTGTTGGGCAGTCGATGATGCTTAACGAGCAACCGGGTTAAGGTGGATTATCACTTACAGTGTAATCAGTTAAGGGATTCTGCAGACTGTTTTTTGAGGGTTCAGCATCCTGATGAGTCGGTAGGTGAAACTCCGACGAAACAGTTTGTCACAGGCCCTCGTTTGTTGTCCTCTTCTCCCTCGCTGCCTATGGTTTACCAGGCAGTTCTGTTTGACGTTATATATATTGTCACATCATGAGTCAGTGAAACTCCGACGAAACAGTTTGTCACAGCCCCTCGTTTGTTGTCCTCTTCTCTCTCTCTGCCTACGGTTTACCAGGCAGTTCTGTTTGTGACGATATATATATATATATATCGTGAAATAGAACTGCCCGGTAAACCGTAGGCAGAGAGGGAGAAGAGGACAACAAACGAGGGGCTGTATATATATATATATCATCACAAACAGAACTATATATATATATATTGACAACGAGCGTAAGCACACGAGGACAGACAGGCAAAGAGACAGACAAACTAGAATGACACAAAACAGTGTCCTCTATACCTTTCTCGGCCTTTGGCTAAGATCAAGTGTAGTATCTGTTCTGATCAGTTTAATATCTGATCTGTGGTCCATCGGGCCATATTAAAAAAATGAAAAAAAAAAACAGTGTCCTCTTCTTCTTTGTTCCACTGTATTCTTATTTCTTTCAGTGTTTTATAAAAAACATTTACACTGAACAAAGGATAAAAATAAAAAGAGTCAAAGACGCATTGAAATCATTCAATTTCTCAGTCTTCTTAATTCCTCCTCCACCGTGCCTCTAACGTACAAGGCTCGCCACGTTGATGAAGTTGAGAGGAGCTAATATCGTTATGCTCTGGGACCACATGAACATCACACCATAAAAAATCATTCACGGACAATGACAGCACACCGTACAGTCCAACGCATCTCTCTCTCTCTCTCTC